AGGCAGCATCCAAAGGGCCACACTATTCATCTGACAGGGACTAGAGTGAGTAGAACAAACTCCACGCCGCAACACCTTAAACCTTGAAGTGCTTCGGACTCTTCAGATTTAACAGTGTATATGCAAACATATGCCTACATACAGACTTGAGAAAGTGGCCCGGAAAACAATGACTCAGTCATGGCTGTTGCGCCTCACCAGTTCTCGCCGCACGGTCCTTACTGGCTTCACTGCTAATGTAGGAACCTGAAATCAAAATGAAACTATTACTCTTAACAGCCCTTTGGGTTTACACTGCGCTAACAAAGAACCCCTCAGAAACAACTTACAACTACAGACCCTCAAGGGGTTTAAGGGTTCAGGAGTTTAGGGGTTTCGGGTTTAGGGGTTTAAGGGCTTATAAGGGTTCAGCAGTGCGATCCGGGCGAGATGCACGCAAGGATCCCTACAACGGACTATCAGACAACGAATTCCTAATTATGACGGGGCCATGAGGCTTTTTCCCTCCTACATGGCAAGGACGACGCCCGCATTGCAGAGTAGTTCAGGTAACATACGACTGAGCTTCTCTTCATGGGGTTTAGGGTTTAGGGGTTTAGGAATGTTTCTTTGTTTATGTATGCCAGGGGTCTCCATCGACCGGAGCATCCGCCAGTGGTTCCGGGCAGCTGCCGGGCTTTCGCCTCAGAAGGACAGGATCAACAAAAGGCCCGAAGCCCTGTAGCCCTGTAAACCCTACGAGCACGATAAGCTCCCTCTCTATCTCTCTCTATCTGTATATGTATTAGTATACATATATATATATATATATATATATATATATATATATAGACACATTTCTATAACAACCTGGGCTTAGTTTTAGGGTATGGGGTTCAGTAAGCTATATGACACCGAAAAAAGCCGTCGGGCCCTATACAAGGCCTACAGTAAGCTGTTCAAACCCTATCCACCGCACCCCAAACGCAAAAATGTAAACACCAACCCTATGATTAGGGTTTAGGGTTTGAGGACAAAGCGCACGACCCTGGACCTTTAAACTCTATGAGCCCTGGACGGAACACCAACGAATCGCCGGCACCGAAAACTAAAACTCTCAAGACTCAAGTCTCAACTGACAACACGAAATTGAATGTCCGAAGTGTGAGGCTTAGAGGATATATAAACCACAAACCCCCTAGCCCCAAAAACCCTCTGAGCCTCTATATACAGACTCGAAAGGATCCAACTCCACCCTATAAAGTCCGATAAGCGCTGCACATCCCGCTTCAAAAAACGCAAGCAAAACTTGTGCCACGGAGCCATGTTGGCTCGGCATCACCTCGTGCTTGTCGGTGTGGCGCACCTGCCCGCGGGTATTCGCTAGGATGGTCAGCGGGTCTTGAAGGTGCTACGGGTTTACATTTTGGGCTTGTGTGCGTGTGTGTGTGTGCGTGTCACTTCTAGGTTTACTTGGAGGCTCGTGGATAGTTATATATGGGGATATAAATCTCCCCAATATGGGTTCTAAGTATAGTTGCCCTATTTATAAAACTATTTACAACTACCCATGAACTTCAAAGTAGAGTTTGAATATTGAGAGTTTTAAGTTCAAACACAAAAGGTTTGGGCTGTAATTAGGGTGCGACAGTGTGCTGCAGTGACTGTAATGTATATAGGGCTTTCACGGGATTGGGGGGTCTAACTGGTTCAGGGTTTCAGTGTTGGGTTTGGAGCTTGGGGTCTACGGTTTTGGGGTAGAGGTATAGGGTAGGCTATATGTAGATCTCTGAGCATCTATCGGAGCTTGTATGGTTCATGTGCTTCAGGACTTGGGTTTAGGGTTTAGGTTTAGGGTGTTCTGTTTCCAGCGTCTGAAAGATTGGTTCTTTGAAAAAGGATTGAGTGGGCTTTGGCGGCTAAGGACATAGTGGCCCGAAGAACTTGCCCAAGGCTCAAGACAAGCCGAAAGCCTTGTGTAGTATGGTCTTTGGGGTTTTTAGTTGTTATGTAGTTTAGGCGTAGCTTTGAAGCCCAAAAGCCGCGGCACATAAGTCCTGAGAGCCTTCCGGTCTGATTTCACCGAGCGGGCACAGTGGACTGCAACTGCGGGTCATGTTGTGGGGGTTTGCCAGATCGGGCAAGAGACTTTGTGTAGTGATGCTTAGGGGCCATACTTGTATCTAAACCTCAGACCCTGAACCCTCAACCGCTAACCCTTTAAACCCTCAATTGGCCATACACCCATATGGCCTAGACCCGCGAACAGTAGAACATGCTTTCAATGGTATGTTATACTTCCACTGTAATCAGGAATCCGAAGGCCTCAGGCTCCTAAGGAATGCTGCAAGTAATTTTTCACTAGGTTGCAGTTCCCCCCCCCCCAATATTTATGAATAGATACCTGTGCAGGACCATAACGACACATTCTCTCATAGTGTGACCTAGACTATGTTGTTGAACAATCTTCTAGACTGCGATGCTTCCTCAACTAACTACACTGCTACTTCTGTTCCTGCGCCGCCTCTCCTAGTGCTACTGCTGCCGCTGCTACTAGTACTACGGCTAAACTGATAATTATGACAATGCCACTATCACTAGTAATAATAATAATGATTGACACCAAAATATCATGTAGTATGATGGGCCATTCGGGTTTGGCGCCAACGCCTGGAATCCTTCTGGGTGCTCTCGATGTATTTGCTCCTGAAGCATGGTCAAGTTTTTGGGAAGCTTCAGCAGCAACGGCGATCAGAAACATTGACGAGGCTGGCACACCGGAGTTCAGAAAAGCCTTGGTTTCCTCGACTATTCGTTGTTGCCTTGGGCTCTTCGTGAAACATCCGCCTGACGTTCACACTAGGAACAAGATGCAGCACTCTTGAAACTGCAAATCTGCAGATCAGACATTGTAGGAGGTGCTCTACAGGCGCCAAGGCTACAGCTCATGTCTAAGTGATGCCTTTTTTTTGGAAACTCAGGGTGTGGGAGGTTCCTAAAATACGGGATGGGGCCGCAATGTGCATACTAAAATGTGTTTTTAATAGGAACTTCATGTTGACGACCCCTGAACGAGAAAAGCAGTACGGACCCACGAGGAACTTCAAAACAGCGATACGGATCCCCTACCCTAAACCCTAAACCCCGATGAATTGAAATCCAAAAACTGACCCCTAGTTTTGATGCGGGGAACTAGGGCATAGGAATAGGTGTTTTAATAATCAAAATATGTCCCTTTGAGATCTTATAAGAATGATAGTGTATGAGCGCATTCATAGCGACTACAGGGTGCTACCACTAACTATTACGACTCCTATACCGCAATTAAATCATTCGACGGTGACGGTTTGGAGTTGAGCTTTCGGTTCTGGGTTCCTAGAACCGACATGCTGACATAAAGCCAGCGACAACTTGTGTATTTATAGTATGAAACACGACTTTGTCATATGACATAAGATCGTATAACATATAAAAATATATATATATATATATATATATATATGTATGTATGTATGTATCTGTAACTTATCTTAAAAGCCTCCAAGGCCTGAGCTCCATCGCCCGGAAAGGCAAACACGGGGTGAAACTTTCCGAGGTTCGGAATTTAGCTTTCCAAGGGATCGTGAGACTTTCTTGGCTTGATCTTTTAGGAGAACCCGGCAGTTCGAAGATGCCTGGATGCAAGAAGGGGATCAACAGTCCTTTACAGCGTGGGGCCAAGTTTGAAGGATCACGCCTCGTGGCTCGTGGCTCTGTTTGAGGGGTTAGGGTCTCGCTGTTGGGTTTTTTTGACCCTGAACCCTCAACTGCCCTAAAACCTATACCCTTATAAGGATGAACCTCGCATCATGCTCACCCAACATGCGGGACGAGCTGCGATCTTCTGCATCACCCCGGACTCGGCCGGAAACCAGGCATTGAGGCAGGCAATCCTGAGAAGGTCTCTCCGGCATTCGAGTTGGGTTACGACAAGGGATGTAATCGATAGGGTTCTCGAAAAAATTCTACAAGGGCTTCTACGAGGTCTATCTCCGCAGTCGTACAAGTGGGGTTCCAGAAGGATTCCGGAAAGGGATCTGATAGGCTTCTTTATGGATTCTGCTTATGAGTCACTGAGGGTTATAGTATTGGTAAGTGCAAAGGACTCCGTATTAACCACAAGCCATAAGCCCCACTCAAACCCTTCAAGATCTGAGCACAAACCCCATGATTCTTATCAAGGGCCTCCCGAAATGCTGCGTCCTGTATCTTCTGATCTAGGCTAGGGAGGGGCAGTTCTAAACACCCTGACATCCTGCTTCACATGCGCGGGTACATGGACCCTTTGGAGTAAAAAAGATCATCGCAGAAGTAAATCCAAACTGGCATTGGAAGGTGTGGGGTGCGGTGCCGGAGCTATACAAGAACAACTACCAGGAGTCTGACATGCTGACATGTATTGCGATAAAATGTTATCTAACCTACTTATGTTCAGGAAGCTATTCAAAAAAAAGCGGTGTACTGTACCACCTTTCAACTGCCGAGCTTGTAATCGTATAATCTGCCCCCCTAATCCTTGCTTTCTCAGACCCCGATACTGAGTACACTCACTGCACGCCCATCAGAGATTTCGGTTAAGATATCACAAAACCCCTTAATCGTGCCGGGAACCGACAGAGCTACTTATTTAGTGGTTGCTGATTCTCAGTTCCTTCCATAAGTCCTTGAGTACATAAGTCATTCAATGTCCAGGCCTCAGTTACCTGTGACTTCAAATATCTTAAAACATCGCAAACATTCTTTTAGGCTTCAGAGTTTGGAGTGTACTATAGGGGCCTGAATAACTACGAATACTATTTTGCGGGCTCCTTATCATAATTGTAGTATAACGGGCCCCATAACCCTATTCTAATTCTTCTGGCCCCTATAGTAAGGTGTTACCACGCGGGCTTTGAGATACGCCGTACAGTTTTATGCACGATTCCCAGAAGCTATAAAGCTTTGACTGGGATTGTCGTTTGTAGAGCTGCAGGGGTAGATGGCTAAACACTATAAACCCTAATCCCTCTGCTGGCCAGCCGCGCATGCGGACTTTTTCGCAGCGCGTCGTAAACGTCAAACCAGCCCTCATCCCGGATGGGCCAAACCTCTGCTTCGCTTCTTCGGGGAGGGGAGTTAGGGTTTAGGGCTGCAGGGCTTTAGGAGTTCGGGTGTAGGGTTCCGAACCAATTCTAATGTCCTATTAGAAGGGCTTTGTAAAGTCTTGAACACTGCTCTTGAGGAAATGAAGAGCAGCGAAGCGTTTAGGACAATGTTTTCCTCCCGCATGGATTGGACGAGCCTACACAGCCGGGTACACTCTCTGACAGAAAGTTGCAGCTTACGGAATTGTTTCTGATTTTTGAGGATCGGGGAGAGGCTTGGAGGTTAAGACTTAGGATTTGGGGAGTTTCTGTCTGTTGCAGTCGCCACCAGCCAGGATTGCAAGGCTTTGCGCCCGACACGTGAATCTTAACCTTAAACCCGTCATAGCCCGTCTTGCAGTCTCGTAAACATGACTTAACTTCAGAGCTCAACATGTTCGTTGAGTCGCCAGAGGCTTCTCTTGAGTCGTCCTATGGGTGCTGATTTGTTCATTTGCCGTTGAGGCTTCACTCGGCTGTCCTCAGACGGTCAGCAAGACAGACACACACACACACAGAAAACCCTAAACCCTAAACCCCTAAACCCTAAACCCTAAACCCTAGACCCTAAACCGTGTTGGGAGGTCCTGTAAGGAACAAGCTCAAATTCAATCATCTTGAGACCCCTCACGGCAAGTTCAGGGTTCAACCCTGAACCCTAAACCCCAACCCCCCCCCCCTCCAAAAAAAAAAAAACCTTTAACTCCTACACCCCAAACTCCCAAAGAACTGCTGGTGCGCAGCCGGATTCATCGGGAAGCTGTACCCTTCGGTGATGCGTTCCAGCAGAAACTCTCGCAGGCCTGCTCTAGAGGATAGTCTGAAGTTCTTCCGATTTCGGGTTTAGAAGCTTTGGGGCCTTTGGGGTTTAGGGTCTTAGAGTTGTGGGTTTTGGGGTTTTGTGTTGGGCTCTTCCGATTTGGAGTTTTGGGGTTTTGGGAAAGGGTTTAGGGTTTAGGGATCTTCTTTGGGTTTTGTGTTTTTGTTGAGACTGGTTTGGGGTTCTCCTTTGGGTTTTAAAGGTTGTTGCTGAGCACAATTTTCCGAGCGCATTGCAAGCGGAAGCCAGCTTCTGCTGGGCCCATGGGAAACCCCAAACCCTATTTTGGGTCCCTATTTTCGGAAACTCTTATATAGTAAACCCCAAAAAGTTGGAAACCGGATTAAGGACGATGTGCTGGGATTCCTTATTATGTACTAGTCATCAGGATTGAGACTATTGGGCTTCCAACTTTTGGGCTTCTTCTGTGATTCGGGTTTCAGGGCATAAGGGGTTTAGGGTTCGGGGCTTATAAGCTACCTGAACCCCCAAACCCTAGCTGCCTCTAGAACTGGAAATCATGGCAAGGAAAACCCGAAACAGCAGGTTCCAGTTAGGGTTTCAATCTCTAAAGAAGAACCTTCGACGCCGTATTCCCTACGGTTGATTTTGCATTCCCCCCCCCCACAGAACAAAAACAACAACGACGAAGCAAGGCTAAGGTTGAGGAGTTTAAAGCTTGGGTTAGAATTTTAGGTCACCGAACCGTAACATTTGTCGAGCTCAGGGCTGCCAAACCTGAATTTGCTTTTGCACTAACCACGGACATGAACCAAGCGGAGGCACCCGGGCTTTACGTCAACGGCGACGCAGGTAAAGCACCGTAATCACTCATGATGACTTCAGTCTCAGTTCAACTACGGTGGTCTCAACCCCACGATCTAATTTCAGGGCCTTAACAAGTAGAATAGGGTTTTGGGGTAAACGGTATACTGCTATACTAGAGTCAGAATATAACATAGGCCCTAAGGAAGAACTTACAGGTACTTATATGGTTGGGGCAGTATCCAAAAAAACTTCTATTCCTTGTTGGGTTTAAGTACCGCAAACATGAAAAATTGTTACCCAACTCTGACAAAGTAGGTGTGAAGCCATATGCTGGAGTGCCTGAAGCATCACGATATGCCCAAGGCTTGCCATCGAAGCCATCCCAGATAATGAGATACTCCGAATCCAACTCCTCCAAGAAATTTCGGATGTAGGGTAAGGCCGAGGTTTGAGGGTTTAGGGTCTGTACGTTCGTTTTTCTTGCCTCTTTACTCCCCAAGCCGCCCTAACGCATGTCGGGGGTTTTGGTTTGGATTGGGTTTTCGGCGCTCACAGCTCGGACAATCCAGGCGAGACATGCGTCTATGGGTCGGCTGAGCAGGTGGGCATTCATAGCACCCCTATATTGCCCGATATTGGCGTGGTATACTTAATAAAGGAAAAGCATGATTAGATTTCGAGACTGGCGGAGCAACATGTCGCATGCAAATATCCTTGCATCTGTGTGCGCATGACAAGCTAGTCGGAGATCAAAATGCCCACCAGACAAACTAGACTCTGTCACTTCAAACTAAAGACCGCGATTCAGAACCCGAAACCCTATAAACCCAATCAAGGGGAATGCAAATGGCATTCCTGGGGGAAGTAGAAATTGAAGCACTCGGCCCCATGACGGACGGCGCCGCTGAACTTTGTTGCTTCAATCACCTCGGAAACAGCAAGATGCTGGCATGTCCCCGACTTGACGCTGGCTGCTGCACCTATGTTACTAAGGGCCCAAGACCCCGACACCACCCCTAAACCTTAAACCCTACACCAAGCATGGGCAGGAGCCGGATACCAAGGTCTTCCGAAAAAATGCGAGGGAGCCCTGCCCTCGAACCGCAGCAGACATGCGTGTGGGATATCTGCGGCAGGAGTTTGTGGAGAAGCAAGATGCGAAAAAAAAATCCTAGCTCAGAGTTCTTAAGATGCCATGCCCGACAGATTCTTGTTGTAGTCTTGAGGGCTGAGGGCCTTATAAACCCTTAAAACCCCAAACCCTAAGCCCCAAATCCTAAAGCCTAAACCCAAATGAGGGCCTGTCTCTCTCCAGGCACGGCCGAAACGGGTCCCAAAGCCTAAGCTTAGAAGTCTCCCACCATGTTTTCAGTCCCGGTTGTGTCCCTGTACCGATGTTGCATCTTCTTAGGCTTTGTATACACGAAGTTCCTACATAACCCTAGGGTCAAATGTATGGTCAAAGCGTACTACTAGGTGGGCACATGGGCCTTATGGTGACGTCCACTCTATAATTGACGTCCCAGCGGCCTCCGTAATTAGTCGATAGGATGTGGGATCACCGAAGCCGAACTCCGGAATGTACGGATGAAAACCTTCACAGGGCTGTTTGTTGTTATCACTAAAGTACTAGAGTGGCTGTGTAGGGTTTAAGTTTAGAGTGACAGGTTTACGTGAAGCTTAAGGTGGGGTTAACCGTTTCTAGGAAGCTACCCGTGCGCTTGTAGGAAAGTCGGTGCGGCCAACTGAGGAAATCAGGCTAGTTCGAAGTCGTGTTCTGTTGGGATGCATGCGTCAGTGGGCCAGGGCCACTGAAGTCATGAAGTCAGAAAACTCAAAGCCCTATGCCCGGAAGATTCTGCGAAACATAAACAGCACTTCTGAAACGTCTCGACAAATGCAGCCGACAAATGCACCCCTACGCTCCCTTCAGATTCTAAAGCTTCCAGTGCTGGGCTTGGCCTTGGGTATGAGGCTTCACCAACCCTTTTGCTGCAGGCTTGCTTGCAAGGACTCGTGAAACCCTAAACCTGAACCTCGGCACAAGCTGGCTTCCCAGACTCCACAAGGTAGATCCCGAATTTATACTAGCACTGCTAAAGGCCCTTTATACAAAACCTCCCTTAAAGGATCCTCCCAGAGGTTTCGCCCAGTGATTTTTTCCCTCGGGGTTATGGGTTTACGAAACTTGAAGACATTGCTCGCGGCGGATTCTCGGAAAGATGTCCATTACTGCAGATGGGCCCACTGTGCCGAAATCGAAGCCTAAAGCACTAGATAGGGGCCTTAAGTGATGTAATTAGGGTTTTGGGGTATACCATACTAGAAGAAGACAACACCATAGTAACGGTCACACGGAAGAGTATTACCCTATTCAGGCTGCTACAATGATGGGGCACCGGACCTCCTTACTCTTATAATAGGCTGCCTGAAACCCCACGGAGTGGTGTAAAGCCCCGTGCACATGCGTAGATCCGAAAATCCTGTAGACCTCATTCGAACCCAAAGGCGGTTTCGGGTTTAAGGTTTAGGCTTTAGGGCCTACAGTTTAAGGGGCATATACATAGGATTCCGGGCTTATAAAGTCGTTAAGGGGCGGAGACTTTAGGCTTTCTAATTAGAATATAGGGTTTTGGGGTATAGTACACTATAAACATAATAAGGAACCCCCAAAATAGTAGAGGTAGTTATTTAGTCCCCTACAGTAGGTTCTCTGCCTTCTGCGTCGGCCTTCTCCAGGATTTCGAGCCATCCTTTTGCAGCACTCAGACTCAGAGTTGAGCGAGGATGGGTCTCATGGCTAAAGACTCTTGCGTGCGGGCTATGAAGTCCTTGCCGGAGAGCAGACACTAATCCGTTTTGGGCTGGGATGTGTAGGGTTTTCTTAAGGGTTTAGGGTTTAGAATCAAGTCTACAACTCACGACAAGAGACAGGAACTGTTGCAGCGTCCGAAATCATGCTTGGTTGTGCTGGTGAACAGTAGTGAAGGAATTTCACTCGTCGCGTACTCAAATTCCGGAGAATTCAGGCTTCGGCAGTGCCTCCGGGACAGGATGCCCCACGTGTCATTGAAAGTTCTATCGCACGAATGGCGGTGTCTGGAAGGCTACATGATCTCACACTTTAGGGGGCCATCATACACATTGGTCTGTGCTTTTTGCATCCAGTCGCCTCCTAAAGTCGACAAAATCCACGCAGTACACGCTCTAGGACGGCAGCATGTGCACAGGCTCAGTCTGAACCTATGTCCAGATCACTAGCATGTGGCGCAAGGACCCACAGGCCCCAAAATCACAGTTTAGGGTTGAGGGTGTGGGTTAAGGGGACCCTCAAGTATAAATACACACAATCGCAAAGGTGTCACAAGCCCCTTGCCCTCAGCCCGGAACCCCCCCCCGTCGATGAACCATCCGAGCTGCGCGAGTTCCAGGAAAGGGCATTTGGATCCTCGAGGATGCGCCTGGTGTTGTCCAGTGTCCAAGCCATGAGGTCCTCGTCTCATTCAGGATTTTGCGGGGTACTTCGACTTCCGACACGCCAGAGACAACGAAAATACACGCAAACAAACATACACGGATCACGTCGTACATGTAAACCCACCACGCATCTTCGTACATGCAAACCTACATATCTAAGCAAAAAGCCGGTGCGTGCACAGATGTCGACCCAGTGGTGCACTAGGGATCCAGTTACGAAAAAAAGTAGGTTACCGACAATAGACTATGTAACCCAGATTGGCACAATATTGAGTTATTTGGGGTCTTTGTTTATTTGGAGGTTCATGGGTAGTGATAGGTGAGAAGCATAGGGTAACTATATTTGTAGCCATATCAACGGACTTATAAAAACCTTATAACTATCCATGAGCCTCCAAGTACAGGTAGCAGTGCATGCTGATTCTGGTGCTACACAAAAACAGTAAGCGAATGCCAAGTATCCTTAGAACCAACAACAAACATGTGGGAGTATCAGGTGGGCCCAGAATAAGTAGGGTTACTGAAAGATACCCGTTAATACAAGGGCCTTAATAATTAGAATAGGGTTTTGGGGCCCATTGAACAATCATCATAAGGAACCCCCAAAATAGTATAGGTAAATATTTAGACCCGTAATATAGAACCCCTACAGTAACCCTTATAAACCCCTTTTAAGGAACCCCTAAAGTATTACTATTATAGTAGACGACTCCTAATCACGAGCAACCTCTCATGCCAGCTGAGGAGGTGGCGCTCTGGTCGGCAGCGATTTTTTCGTATCGCATGCCACGGCTGCCAACCGTGAAGGTATCGAAATCCTAGGGCCGTGCATTGCGGTTAATAAGGGTTATTGTAAGGGCACTAAATTTGAAGGTACCGAAATCCTCAGGGCCGTGGCTTGCGATTAACAGGGGTTACGGGCTCTAAAACTCTAAAATTGAAGGTATCGAAATCTTGAGGCCGTGGTTTGCGGGCAACAGGGGTCAAGGGTTCCAAAATTGACAAGCTTCCACGTGCTTCAGTGGTTTAGGGTTTATTCTTGCGCAGCTCGGCCTAAGCCGATCCTGCATGCTTTGAGCCAGAAACTAATTAAACCCCACACCCAATACTTGAGCCCTTGAGTTCGGAGGTTAGGCCGTACCTCGGGCCGTTCAATCTAAAATGCATTGACCCACAAACTCGATGAAGTCAACATCGCAAGCACGCATGTTTAGCTCTGTACGCCACGAAACACAGTGTTCACACTTGTATTCCGCGTGCCTGCAATCGAACCCCCCCAGACCGCGCTATGGCAGCTCTACTTGCAGGGATGATTCGGAAACCACGGGCTTCACCATGGACTCCGCATAGGCGATGAGGAGTCCATGCGGGTTCATGGGATTCGTGAGGTCCTCACAGGTCTAAGAGGCAGCTCCTCTCCCTCTCTCTTTCTCTCTCTCTCTCTCTATCTATCTCTCTCTCTCTCTCTCTCTCTCTCTGTCTCTCTCTCTCTCTCTATCTATCTCTCGCTCATTCTCAACCTTTATAGCAGGGACGTGGGGTTGACCCATGACCCATGTGGTCTAGCAGGGCCACCCATGTTTCTTAAGACTTCGGGCACGCGGATTGTGGTTTGGGCTTCGTGGTAGTTTCTTGCTTTTTTGCCTCCCGCCTGGCTAGGACGAATCTACGATAACCTACGGTGCTCTGTGGTATTAAAGGACTCCAGTGGCAGGGGTATGACTCATACGACGAAAAACCGGCTACAGCGGCAGAGATCAAGACCTCAGAAAATACGGCCCAAGGCGCCACTTCGCTAAGCCCGCTTCAGATATGTCAAGGGGGATGCATCAATTGCTGCTAGACCCTAGACCGCAAAACCCTTTGCATCCAGGCCTCCTGAGGGTGTTGCCGCAAAACCCTATTTCCGAAATAGGGACCCAAATATAATGCCCTACTTGGAAGGGCAGGGGACTTAGTAAGTAGGTTATAAGTAGAGTTGTAAGTGCCCTAAATGGAGTTACCCCAATTATAACCCTACTTATAACTTACTTACTAAGTCCCCTGCTCTTCCAAGTAAATAGTAGGACCCTCATTATAAGGACCCCAACATAGGGTACCCCATTTCCGGAAACTCTCATATCCCAAAACCCAACCCTGAACAGCAGTAGGCACAAATCTTGCGGCAGTTGCCGGCGCCATTTGCAATCAGGGCACATACCTGAATGACATGACAGACTTGGGCACCGGGTTGGGAGACCCTTTTCCGTCATGCACTGGCAAGTGTCTTTATTCAAGACCCATGTGTTATACTGCAGAGAGTCACCCTGGGAGGACGGAATCGGACATCGAGAGGGGTCTGAGCTTCGTTCGAACTTCGGAAAAGTTTTGCCGAAAGGGTTTAGGGTTTAGGGTTTAGGGGCCATGGTCAGGCAAAGGAGGCAATGTGATGTGTTTGAGGGCTTGGGGTTTTGCGGATGCTGCTGGAAAGGATAGTGGCACTGGAGCGCTGGATGGTGGTGCTACGTAGATATAAAGACCCCAATCACTGTTACCCGCATTATTCCTTCGGGTTCACTGGGGTATACATATACCATACTATACCCCATAACCCTGTTGAAACTATCAAAGCCCCTGCAACCACAAAACCTTGAACCCTATAGTGCAACCAAAATCTTGCCAGGGGCCAGAAACCTGGCTCGGATTGACGATTATAGGGATTAGGCCCGAGGGTTTCAGGTGTAGGCCTTATAGGGGAAGTCCAAACTCGTAGTTATGTACACTAGATCTAAGAGTAACATAGGAACAAAAAGGGTGCCCTTTTTGGTTTAAAGGGGGTTATAAGGGAACCGAAACCCTCAAAAAGGGAATAAGGGCCTACTCTGGGTCCTAGTACATCCACATATTTCAAATCCAGGCAGTAACCCTCATTGAACGAGGTCCCTCTGAAGTGCCTCCCAGTTGCCCGCCTTGGCGATGGCGCGTGCATCATCCAGAGCAACCCGAAACCCTCAATCCTAAACCACGGTTGGGTTGAACGGTTTAGGGTTTGTAAGCCTGCAGTCGAAAGCTACCCAGTGATCTAGAGTCTAAAGGTTCGTGCTGGACAAACCCGCAGCTTAGTGCAAACCCCAAGGCCCCCCCTTTGTCCCACGCGCCTGAACTCCAAGCCCACTAAGTCTCTAAGTTTGGCCCTATGATCCTCCAACTGTCTGTGAGCTGGAACCCCGGAACCCTTAGCCTAAATCCCTAACCCCCCCGCCGCCCACCAAGACCTTGGCAGTTGCAGGCCGAGCTTCTGATAAAGGACAACCTTCGGGCGACCGTTGCTGCGAACAGCGTGGAGGTTCCTGGCTTTTGAAAGGTCGAGGGTTGAACTTTTCGAAGTTTAGTCGGTGCAGGGTTCGGGGGTGGGTGCTTTAGGAACCAATGCCATAGTGGTAGTACATTACATGGCCCCGCTGAGTACCTAATTAAGGTCCTGAGCCCTCTTCAAACCGTACAAATACGTACGAAATAAAGCCCTAACTGCGCGCGAATAAGTTTTAGCTCGCATTCAGGCTCTGAAACCCCGTTGATGCACATAGGCCAGAGGCAACCTGAAGACGCCAAAACAAAGCAAAACAGATGCAGCCAGGCCACCTGACCCTAAACCCATACGGCCAAAGCCCCTCATTACCCCCTAAAGCCCCCTAAAAACTATAACCTTAAACCCGATAAACCAAAAAACACCCTTAAACTCACTAAGAGAAAAAAACACCCCATAACCCTGCAAGCCCTAAGCCCCATGTCAACTCACAAAACCTTTAAAGGAAACCCTAAGCCCCACATATAAACTCACAAAAACTTTAAAGTAAACCCTATGCCCCGTAAAAAGCTCACAAGAACATTAAAAGCAGGGAAAACATCACCCCCCCCAAACAAAAACAAAAAAAGCGCCAAGGTCGCATCTCCATAAACGCCGGCTCCGAAGCTCGGCCGGTTTCCCAGCCAGCCTCTCAGTTTTTGTTTTTTGGGGGGGGGTTAGGGTTTAGGGGTTTAGGCTTCAGCCCTAGTAAGTTTAGGGTGGGTTTAAGGGGTTTTGGCTTGGGGTTTTTCCCTCCTACCTTGGCATAGGCATAGGGTTTAGAGTTTAAGGTTTTGGTGGTTTTGGGGTCTTTTTGGATCCAGGGTTTAGGTTCTTTCGAATTTTGGGCTCAGGGTCTTTTAGATTTCGGATTTAGGGTTTTGGCGTAGGGTTTAGGGTCGCGTAGGGCGTAGGGGTTTTGGGGCTAGGGTTTAGGGGTTTAGGCTTTAAGGTTTATAAGGCTCTAACAGGGTTTCGGGTGTAGGGGTTAGGGTTTAAGCCTATATAACAGGGTTTGCGGGGCTTTGGCTTTAAGGTTTCGGCCCGTTAGGGTATAGGGTTTAGGTTTCAGGGTGGCCTTAGGGTTTGGAGTTCGGGCCTTGGGGTTTTGGCTTGAAGGTTTAGGGTTTCGGGTCTTGGGGTTCAAGGCTTAGGGTTCAGGGTTAGAGGCCTCATAAGGTGTGGGGCTTCGGGTCTTGGGGTTTAGGCTCTAGGGTTCGGCTCTAACAGGGCTTTTTGACGCTCACACTCGGCAATACCAGGCGAGGTTTCTAGAGAGACTGGAGGTTAAAAGTTCAATGCGTCATGACACATTGGTTTAGGGTTCAGGGGTTAGGGTTCAGCCCCTAATAGAGTTTAGGGTTTAAGCTGCAGGGTTTCGGCACCTAGTAAATTTAGGGTTTTGGGGTTGCGGGTCCTAATAAGGTTTATATGGTTAAGGTTTAGAAGTCCCTGAGAATTTAAGGTATCTTCTTTAATTAAAGGGTATTCGGCTCTCTGGGCTCTGGGGTTTTGGACTTGTAGGACTTTACGGTCTTGGATCTTAGGGTCCAGAGATTGTTAAGGCTCTACTTTTAGGACTTCAGGGTTTGGTGTTTTTAGGGTCTGGGCTTCGGGGCTTAAACCCGCAAAATGCCCTCTGCTTACGGTCTTGGGGGGGTTGAGAGGTCGTAGCATTTCAGGGTTTTGTGGTCTTTGAGGGCCTTGGCAAATGCAGGCTTTCGGGTTCAATGTTTTTGGTGGTTTCGGACTTTGGTATTTGCAAGTTTTAGTCTTTGGGTGTTGTTGTACAATGCTTCGGGTGTAGGGTTTGAAGAGCTAGGGTGCTAGGGTCTATAAGGTTTTAGGGTGCAAAAGTTAGGCCAGGGTTTAGGGTTTAAGGGGTCATTAAGGGTTTTGTGGTGTTGGGTTAGGCCCGCAAAAATGCGCTTCCATCTGTTTTGCTTTGTTTTTTGTTGCTGAAGGCCTTAGGGTTTTAGCCATCGTTTTGTTGAAGGAGTTTACGGCGTGTGGGAATTTGGAGTTGAGAGTTTGGGGCTAGAAGCTCAAACGAGGTCTCTATGTTCGGGTGCACAGCTACTTCAGAGTTCAGAGCAGGGGCAGAAAACACCGCAACGCAAGTAAAGGCCACTCAGCGCCCCAGCTCTGATGCATAGTTTCGGGCTTTACGGTTTCGGGAATTCGCGTTCACAGTTCGGTCTTTGGGGATGTAGTTTCGGCACTCACTTTCGGACAAACCTTGGCGAGGATTCCAGTACCAGCGGCAGCACTTTGGCATTGGAGAGGGTTTGCGGTTTGGGGTTTAAGGTGCTTGGGATTCATGGACCTCGACACTCCCTCTACGCTCTGTTAGGCCCTAAAACTTACCATCAGGGGCCCTTTAACCCTGTTTGAAGGTTCAAACAGCATCGTGGGATGTTCTTCCCCATTTTTACACCGGGACTATGCATATGCCAGGAACTCTAAACCTTAAACACTCTTTCAAGCAATATAAGGGCGGTTTGGGCTTGGGTTTAATTTTTGCAACCTCACGAACTCGGCAGCAAATGACAAGGAGATTAATTAAGACGGTTAGAAACTCTCAGCCTGATAGCTCTGTCAAATCTGCTATCATGTCGTACTTTAGACTCATCTCCTCGCGGAATGCATCGGGGAAAAAAATCACCAGGAAATTCTACAAACTTGCCAGCCCGCACACAATCCCACTCATCCTGCGCTGCACCTTATACTGCGGCTGATGATATGACTCCTGCATTACCTTAATGACCCCAGACTATGGGAATTGTGGTATATTCCTTACTAAGGGTAATGCAGGGCTTATATCATAAACCCTAAACCCGGCAACCCTAAACCCGAAACCCCACATCCGGAGACTCAAGACGAAGCCCAATTTTGGATTCTTGTTACTACTATTTGCTTAAGAACCCCCAAAAAATAAAAAATATATTCCTTATAGGGATAATATAGGGATTATCATTTTTTATTTTTTGGGGGTTCTTAAGCAAATAGTAGGTTAAGGGATGTAATTTAAGTTACCACAACCGGGATCTATCGTAACTAAACTGGTTTGCTTTTTAATGTAACTTCAATGACATCCCTTAACTCTTAAAGGAACCCCTATAGATCCCTTAAAGGAACCCTTATAGATCCCGTCAAGGAACCCTTATGGACCCCAGTGTTGGGTAGCGGGACAGTGCCTGGAAGGTAATATCCGGCTGCAGGATGTAAGCCTCTCGGAGGACCTCTCGACTTAAGCATCAGGCCTTTTGGGGTGACCTGCTAGCCTTTTTGACTAGAGTAGGCTTTCGGAGTATGCCATAAGATAGTTTATAGCACATGTAAGAATAAAAGCCGAGAAAGTATGACATGCATATCTTGCTGCATGAAGAACAGAGTTTATACCACATAAAACGAATCAGTCATACGATGAAGTATGTTGTAACTTATTACCATGACGAAAATAGAATCGGGTAAGATGCTTTCGAAGTGTGGGCAGCCGACACGTCGGGTTTGCCACGAGCCGGAAGAGGCTTTACGGCTTTAGGCGGCTTTGGTTTTTGGTTTAAGGCTTGGGGCGAGGGTTTCGGGGCTTCCGGGCTATGGGGCTATAGGCTCAGCTAGCATTTACCTATAGGCTCGTACCCTTGCCCACTATAATAGCTTCAAGTAAGTTCCTCAGCAAGAGCCCCGTAAGTATATGACCCTCTAGGTATCAACAAAGCAGAGTTCCCAAGATGAGTACAAACCGGCAGGGCACCTCTTCGGGGAGGTTGATTCCGAAGACCGTCGAGTAGGACTCGTCCTGGCGGAAGTATCGGAGCTATGGGCGTTTAAGAGTTTACAATCTACTTGCAGGTTCATGGGTATTTGAAAGTGGGGTTGCAAGTCCCCTAACTTGGGTCATAAGTATAGTTACCGTACGTATCACTACCTACGAGCCTCCAAGTAGCGCAGGGTTTTCTTGTTGCCTTCCACCTCGTCAGTAGCGTGGGGTTCAGAGTGCAGGGTTTAAGGTGAGGGTTAGAAATCTTTATGGCGTCAGTACATACACCCACTTTGCGCCTGGAAGCCAACCACAAAAGCCTAATTGAGGGTTTAAGGTTAAGCCACCCCAATAACCCAATAATGGATTACATGAGTATCCAAGGTAGCCCTTCAGGAATTCCGTGCTGGAAAACCCTTAGCTTTGCTTGCTGTAGCGGCTGGAGCTTCAGGTGTAAAGGTTACGGGGATTTGGGCGGAATCAGGTTTAAACCCTAAAGCCTGAACGCTATAAACCCCCCAAGCCCTATACACCCTAAACCATGTAACCCTTTTTGCAGCAGGCCTCGTTGTCCAGAAGCCCTAAACCCTGGACCCTAAACGCTGCTCGGTGGTGATCAAGACAGAGCCCTTCATCTCTAAAGCGCTTCAACACCCGACAGGCCTGAAACGCAATGAGATCCGAAATATGGTACTGAAAACTTCAAACCCTGAAAGCCCAGTTGAAAAGCCCTGCAACATTGAAACCGAAAATGCAGTGCTGAAAACCTCAAACACCTCTTTAAGCCCTGTAAGATCAGTAGAAGTGCCCGCGCATCCTTCGATGCTCATGGGTAGCTGTAAGTAGGGTTACAAGTCTCCCAATACGAATAATGAAACTATATGGTAACCCTACATATAAACCCACTTAGCACTACGCATGAACCTTCATATCCGCCTTGCGGATCGGATGAAAAGGCGCGGTCTCACCTCGCTCCTGATAGCTCTCGGCTGCGGATTTTAGGGTAATACAGGGGCCTGGATGATTGGAATAGGGTAGAAACGATATCTGAGACGATGCCCTAATTGGGTGTACGTATACTGAAAACTAGCTCCAACTATTTCCCAAGGAGAACCCTAAACCCCTATAGAGCCTTGATATGCTTTATGGACCCGTTATGACCCGTTATAGACCACTATGAAACCCTTTGGGATAGGAAGTGGAAAGGGCCCTGTTCAAAGGCTCTCTTCTCCAATAACTAGGCCCAAACAAAGTTCCAACTTTTTAAGCTAGACCAAATATATGAAGCCAAAAAGTTTAAAGTTCTCCAATAGGCTAAGTAAGAAGGGCTTCAGAGCTCAAACATTCGAGCTCTTAGAGCTCCCCCTCAGCACCTTTCAGGGCCCAGAGACTCCAATACCCCTTAATTAAGGAATATTCCTTAAATTATGGTAGGATCCCTAATATGATTTAAGGTATATTCCTTAATTAAGGGATATTGGAGTCTCTGGGGGTTTACCTCCAGCTACCTTTTCTACCAGCACTGTGCTGTAGGGCCCCAATAAGTTCTTCTAGGGTCACAATCACAAACTTCAAAGAGGTTGTGGCAGTTTAAGGTAGGTCAAGTTTCGAGGGCCGGGGAGGGAGGAGGATAGTCTTGTTTTGAACTCCTTTTTCCCGACAGACGTGTGAGGCTTTGGACTCGCAACTTGTGCAAAAGGCAGGCAGTGCAGGGTCTCAGGGTGTGGAGTTTTAGGGTTTCGGGGTGCAGGGTTTAGGGGTTTAAAAGGGGTGTGGGGTCCGAGGAAATGACAAGGAGACTATGATATTGATGTGGAGCTTGAGTTTCCTGAGCAGATCGGCGGGTCAACTTCTGCGGAAAGCAGACTGCAAGCTCTGTCTGACGGCCTGAAAATGTTTGGAATGGACATGAGCTACGTAAGCCTAAATTCGAAATCTAGTACCCTTCATGCAGAAGCCAACATGCAAAAAGCCGTGGGTCCTGCAAGGTCTTCTCCACCCGCTCCAGCTGCAGCAGAGCCAGGTGTTGAGCCTCACGCAGCATGAATCCCGAATCCCACCCAACCCTTAATACCTGAAACCCCCAAGCCCCGACCCCAAACACTAAACCCTCAACTCTAAACCTTAAGCCCCCAATATATGAACCCAACCTCCTTGTTCTGGTAATAGATCGTGGCCCGCGAGTTCGCGGGTGGAGGATGAAGCCGCGTCTTGTGCCTCTCCTCGGGGATGTGTTGTACTTAAATTTACGTGGGGCTGTTACGGGGTTTTGCATGCGGAGGGCCTTTTGGGCTCTTTGTGTCAGCCAGCGAGTCCGCCGCAGAGCCTTTCTTTTAACCCCTAAACCTGAAATCCCAAAAGCCACAAACCCTAAATCCCTAAACCCCACGTCGCTCCTCACTGATCTGAAGGAAGGGCACGAAGCCCGAGAGATGATTCCGCTTGGCGGACCTGGGAGGTTCATGGTGTGTGCAGCCCACGAACAAACCAAGCAAAGCGAACGCAGACAGGGGAAAACATACAACGGCCTTAGTAATTAGAACCGCGTGCTTGGGGTATCGTAGACTATATCTGTAATACAGAACCCAGGTAATATTTTTGGCAATGAGTTACGCCGCTAGAGTACCTCAAAAGATCTGCCAGTGGAGCCGAAGGAGCTTCCCCTTCACGTTCAAGCCTTTGCCCACGGCTGTCTGATTCAGCATCCTCAGAAAAGTACGGTAAAGACTCTTCACAACTCTTGTGCGTCTTTGTCTGCTGGTCCCAACAGGTGGGATATGGTGGGATACTGCACGCATCCTGTATGCACTGAAAGGCACCGGCACCACTATAAACACTGTTCACTCCGCCCCTAGGTGGCAATGAAGGTATTCTGTGTGAGACAAAACTGCCAAACACGACAACTGCCTGCCGACGAGTTCAACCGAGGGACTTTGCCAGCGCATCCCGGCTGGTGGGTCGGTAGACTGCAAACCAAGCAGATTGTCCCTGAGGAAGGATCACATGTTCGTGCTGGGGACGCAACAACTCTACTACGAGTTCGACCGCTGATGCAAAGAACTGCTTAATACCCTAGACTCCGAGCGGAAATCCTCGTTGGGCGAAAGCTCCCAACCCTGGGCCGGCATCAACTACTCAAATCTGGAAAGGAATAAAAGAACCTGAGAGACTCTGAACCCTCAGCCATGGACCAGCAACCCTTTGAATCTATGCCTATACTTTCTATGTCTCTAGCCTAATCTTGTCTTACCTCATCTGATCGCATCTCTTGTTGATCCAACCTAAATCCAGTCAGTCTAACCTAACCTGGATGTATTTGCATATCTGCCGGCTGCACATACCTCGCTAGTTACGTGATATTTAACACATACATATAAACATGTGCGTGTATACATGCACATACATGTACAGTTTTGCATATCTGTGTATTCAGATGCAGTGCAAGAAACCTCAAGACACGACAAAACAAGGCCTCCGGGCTCTCGGTGTCAACGCCACGAGGACCGTTGAGGCCTCCGATGCCGTAGAAGTCGGCCAATGCCTTCCTGGGATCCGAAGCCTCAGCTTCGTGCTTCATGGGAGTTCCTAACATAAGTGCCTTAATGGTTATAGCTGGGTTCAGTTGAAGGATTTTTATAGGGCTCTAAGGGAAATTATGGGGTATTCGGATGTATGCGGCGATTGCAATACCGGAGCCTTAAGAATGAAAACAAGGGTGGGTGGGTGGAGGGATGAAAGAATTAAACAAGGGTGGGAAGGTGGGGATGACCAGGATCAAACTCCGGTCAACTGGGAGCGGTACCACCTCCGGCCAACAAGGCTGAGGGATCAAACTGGCGCGTGCAGAACGAAGAGACGGCAACGGAACAGAAAAGACAGCAGACGGAAATAAGGCTCGACGAGGGGTCGAATGAGGATTACTGAAAGGGATCTAACAAGGTTTTTTTGGACATTATGCGGACCCCACGCATGCGGGGGCTTTGAACAACAGGGGCATTGTAATTGTTACGATGAGGAAATAACAACGGAGCCAAAAATGGTGTCGATAGTTTGTACCTGAATCCGACTCTCTATCCCCCTTACACCCCGCTAAAATTATTATGACGTAATATACCTCAGAGCTCTATTCGCAGTATAAGTCATCCCAAAGCTGAGTGTCATCAGTCACTAGCATGCAAAGACGGTAATGCCAGACCGTCCCGTCGACGCGCTATGTGACACCGAGCACCAACTGAGCAACGAAGTCCTGTCACCGCCCCGCAGCCCAACGGTGCCGCCTTTATGAAGCACTCCATGCACTGTCAGGAACATGCATGGTGTAATACATGTCTGAAGCCCAGTAATTCCGGTGAGGTTATAATCTCCAGTGCCCAACCTAGCTTATTCCCTGCGTCCAGTGGAGTCACTGGATTCAGCTTGCAGAACAGGCTAAGCATCCAAAAGCAGTGCAAATTCACGCGGTCATCATGATGACCCATTCCCGATTATGATCATCACCCAACAGCATTCCCGAAGGCACAGCACGGGATAGGCACAAGGTTACCGAAACAGGACGTCTCGCGAGCACACTGCGATGACAAGGTTGACTCACAATGACTCACACAGCGACGCTCATGATTGCTTACGGACAAGGCGAGAAGCACCGACCGCATTAGCTCAGTGCCATCACCGGCCAAGGCCGGCGAACATGACATGTGCATGCACTCGCAAATTAGCAAGTGCAGATATCTAGTCTATATTGTCCACTTCACGGCAACACCACGGACGATCTGAAGCATGACATGGACAAGTGTGTCGATGCACATGCCCACGCCATAGAAAAACACGAAGACACACATGCCCACGAGGATTGTCTTACCACGAATTCTCATACAAACGCTCGAGGCCATTCTCTTTGGCAACAGCCTTATTAAGCTTCTTCAGCTCACTAACGATCTCCTCAAAGGTCCAAGTCCTCATGAGAATCTGGCGCTTGAGGTTTTTTTTGGTCTCGCGGTCGTCGGGTGGAGATGAAGAAGTTGATGACGAGCTTTCAGTATGTGGGGACGGAGTAGCCATGCCCTGAGCATGCCACTTCTGCCTCCGTGGACCAGTTAGATGAATTAAGGCCCACGCGGCACTTGATGTTGGAGATCTGTGTCTGCAGGTTACGCAAGGTCATGGTCATCTTGGAAGCATACGCCAAGCTGCTTCCGTCTTGGATCTGTTGGTACAGTGTCCTAGCCGCAAGAGTGACCATGTCGGTCGTCTTGCGGCCGGGGGTGGAGACGGCGGCGTCGACTCCCAGGTCGAGGATGAACTTGCCCCGTCCCTTCCTGGACATGTGGCCGGAGACAGACACCACTTGAGAAGGGCATTGCGAGCACGAAGAGAACTGCGACCTATACAGAAAACACTACGAGCGTCAGAGAGCCGACTGAGGGGAGCATAGGCCAGACGATACATGCATGTATAGTCACGATGCACAACGTTGGCATGACATGCATCGACGTTGCTTCTGTTGATGTCCTTGAGCACAGTAAGGCCACGGCATGTCGCCAACATTGCTTCAAGCGTTTCGTGCCTGCCTCTTCTCAACACGATTTAGAGTTGGGGGTGTTCTCTACCATCATTTGTAGGCCTCTACTATGACAGAAACCCTGGCGACTCCGTGCCGGCAACGGGCTTACAACAGAAACTGTAACGGAACGTAGTGGAGCTGTAACGGATTTGTCGCGGAGCTGTAACGGACCTGCAGCGGAGCTGTAACGGAAGCTGTAACGGAGCTGTAGCGGAGCTGTAGCAGAAGCTGTAACGGAGCTGTAGCGGACCTGCAGCGGAGCTGTAACGGAAGCTGTAACGGAGCTGTAACGGAGCTGTAGCAGAAGCTGTAACGGAGCTGTAACGGACCTGCAACGGAGCTGTAACGGAGCTGTAACGGACCTGCAACGGAGCTGTAACGGAAGCTGTAACGGAGCTGTAACGGAGCTGTAACGGAAGCTGTAACGGAGCTGTAACGGACCTGCAACGGAGCTGTAACGGACCTGCAACGGAGCTGTAACGGAAGCTGTAACGGAGCTGTAGCGGAGCTGTAGCAGAAGCTGTAACGGAGCTGTAGCGGACCTGCAACGGAGCTGTAACGGAAGCTGTAACGGAGCTGTAACGGAGCTGTAGCAGAAGCTGTAACGGAGCTGTAACGGACCTGCAACGGAGCTGTAACGGACCTGCAACGGAGCTGTAACGGAAGCTGTAACGGAGCTGTAGAATGCTGTAACGGAGCTGTAACGGACCTGCAACGGAGCTGTAACGGACCTGCAACGGAGCTGTAACGGAAGCTGTAACGGAGCTGTAACGGACCTGCAGCAGAGCTGTAACGGACCTGCAACGGAGCTGTAACGGAAGCTGTAACGGAGCTGTAACGGAGCGGAAACTGAGGGCCCAGGGTGGGTAGCGCAAATCCCATAGTAAATGATGGTAGAGAACACCCCCAAATTTAGAGTCGTCCGTCGAGCCAACGCTTTGTGATGTACACGACCACGGAGATTAAAGAATCTGCATGAAGGCAGTTCGCCGCGCAATGCCCCCAGCTAGAGCGCTGGCACCTCCGCTGTTTATGCTTCGACTCGCTCGAAATCAGCCACTGGTCCAACAAGCTTTCCTGCATCTGATGAAGTTCTTAACAGCAGCCGTGAAGCCATCTGCAGTGCCTGCGTTTTGTCGGCCCCAAACGTTGGCCGCTTCATGGCGGCTGCAACAAAGCACAACCAACGAGAGGATGAGGAAACACCCGGTTTTGGTCGCCCTTAGCAATGAGTCCGCTCGCCTCGCCACTAAACTTTACGCAAGCTTGAGCCAAAGGGCTTAGGGTTCAGGGCTTACGGCTTATTAGTCATTATGCTTACCACGGCGATAGTCCTTCTTATGATTTCTATGCTTAGTCTTGCTACTGCTGTTGCAATCGCGACATCTGTTCGTACTCTGTGAATGGTGGTGCAGGCTTACTACATGAAGAGACAGAGAGAGAGAGAGAGAGAGAGAGAGAGAGAGAGAGAGAGAGAGAGAGAGAGAGAAAGAACAATAAAACGAAAGAACATAAACAGGCATGGGATTGCCCACGTCGGGGATGCTGTTCTGAACAGCAGAGGAGTCTATCAGAGGCCAGGAAGCATAGTTCTCCTTCTGCTTGATGTCCAGGGAACCTCGAATTTTGCAGTGGCACAGAAGTTGACAGGAACGGCGGAAAACGATAAGCCGCTCATCGCCGGTCCTAAGCCACGGTCTAGAGTGTTTAGGGCTTTACGATCTTGATTGGTTCCGGGTATACACCCTGCTTCAACGTCCAACCGGTCAGTAGCATCTTTTTCCTCATTCTGCACCGAGGCACGCACACCTGTTCCCAAATCCCTCCCCACCCCCCAACCTCTTTGATAGCCTTTCACACGAATGTCGAAGTAGAAGGGCTTGGACTGCCGCACGGGTCTCAAACTTTCGTGACATGGAGCATGTGCGAAGATCAACCCGACGAGTCCTACAATAAGCCAACAAAGGCTTAAGGATACCTCGTGAGCTACTAATAATAGCCTGCAAACTATATGCTACCAGTATAATATACTGTAATATACTATGATAGACCATAACAGGCTATGATATACTACATGATAGACTAAGGGTCTGAAGAAAGACAAGCCTAGACCGCAAAACCTGTAAGATGTAAAGGGGCCGACGACACGCTCGAAGTTGTCCCTGTCCAGGCTCAGTAGCTGCACTTGGGTGGCCTCCAGTCAGAAACTTAAAGGGTTTTGGGGTTTTCCGCAAATGCCTCTTTGACATTGAGAGGGCTTCAAATCTTATAAAGTACTGACAATGAAGACGCGTACGAGACCCAGATGAAGCGTAGCCTTAAAATCCAGAGTGAATTTCTGGAACTTAGATAGAGGATTCAAGGATCGCGTCGCTCTGGACGTTTATTAGGATTCAGGGTCTGTGGGGTGGAAATAAAGCACACAATGCCGTATGCGGTGTATTTGCCTCAAGGATATATAGGGTCAGGGCCATAAATTCAAAGCCTAAGAAATTCACAGACGCGCATCTTTGTGTTGCATGTCTCGACTTCAGCATACAAGTGTCCTTGGAAGTAGAAGCCTTGGTTAGCATTGATTGAAATCGGGTGCTTGTCCTTCTGTCAGCAAGCAGACATGGTGTGGTTGAGGCTTTGCATGAGCATTTAGTGTGTTCGTGGAGTCGACAGGGGGGGGTTGTCTTTTGGAGGAGCGAAACCCAGAGAGCCCAATACCCCTTAATAAAGGAATATACCTTAAATCAGTAGGGGATTCATATTGTGATTTAAGCTATAGCCCCCAATTACGGGGTATTGGGCTCTCTGGGAACCTGCTCTTCCACCGAGCTCTGACCAACCAGAAAGCCACCTGAGCGGTTCCAAACAACCTGTCGACCCTGAACTGCTAACTTTGCAAGCTTTGAAATGGGGATCATACGTAATACAGGGGCTTTAACAATCAGAATGGGGTTTTGGGGCCCATGATACTATATTCATAATAAGGAACCCCCCAAAGTAGTGTAGGTAACTATTAAGGCATCTTTGTCATGCTCTAGATTCCTGATGTTCCGAAGCTCCCATCTATGCATGCTAGCTTGTACCTGGGTGGATGCTATAGTTTGCGAGGCGTGCTGCGCGAGCTCCTAAACCTAAGAGTAGCTTAGGAATAAAAAGGGTGCCCTTTTTGGTTTAAAGGGGACTATAAACCTAAACCATACAAAAGGGAATAAGGGCCTACTCTGGGTCCTAGGCTCTACAGTAAAAGCCAGGAAGTTGGAATATGATTATCCTAAACCCTTCATGGCAAATTATAGGGTATCCTACCCTGAAACCATATTCCAACTTTCTGGAGTTCCCTGTATAGCCGCCCAACTGACCCCGAAACCCTGATCCGGAAAGCTGGACTGCTTTTCAACACCCAGCCACCGCTGTGACGGTAGCTGCCCTAGGTGTGCGGTTGATGAAAGCGAGCTCACCTCGGGATTTCGAAAGTTGCTACATAAAGCTGGACTAGAAAATTGAGAAAAACTCTCAAAATATAAAGATACTTTGGGCAGTGGCCTGAAGATTCGAATGTTGGGACCTGGAGACTGAAATCGCACAGCTCTTCGGCTAACATGCCATGCTGATCAAACGCTCTCACCGCACACACCTTTGACATCGTTATGATGACGCTCATGTTCGTCAACACCATCATCATGAGTAGCGCTATTTGCCGTCATCATAACCCTCACCATCAGCAGCCCAAACAACTCTTTTCAACCAGATCACGTCTAGCTAAAACTCACTCGTTGTGCTGTATCCTGAATCCCTAACACCCTCGTAACACTACTTCACGGTTTTCATGGTAAAACACCACTAAACTACACGCTAAGCCGACCATCGCTTCCAAACGCAAACACTTCCAAAGGATTCTATGTACCTTTGCAGGGTGTGTGGGCGGCCTTTCACACAGGGCAGTTGTAAGTCCTGGGTGTTACACTATGTAAAAACAGATGTACATACACATACATACTGTATATATTCATGTTATAGAAACCCTACGCTGCACTGTGGTGATACTGAAGCTCCTACGGGCACTGTGCCCAGTAGACCAACTCTAAACCCTAAACTCAAGCCCTATAAAGCTTAGTCCCAGTAAACCCTTTTGGTGCCATACAGAGACTATAGGCTTTAGGGTTTAGATTTCAGTAAACCCTATACCCCAAACCGAATAAACCCTAAACCCAATAATTAAACCCAAAACCCCAAAGATTACCCTGAACCCAGTAAACCCTTAACCCGTAAACCAAGTTGGGCCACCGAAGCGTTCGCCCTGTGAGTACGTGCGCACGACGTGCTCATCGAAGCCTTCTGAGCCAACCTGACGAGGGTTTAAAGTTTAAAGGAATTGCATGCGATATAATGGATTACCAAAACACGGTGGCCTATATAGTATTTACTGTAGGGTCTAATAAAAGGGTTGCAATAATGAGCGTGTTTAGTTGTTTTGTTCGTTTTAAAGGCCCTCTTCAAGCTGCTTGCTGGTGTCTAGGGTTTAAAGCTGATAGGGTTTTAGGCTGTAGTATGAAGGTGCTATGATATAGTTGCCTACTTTATAGCGGGTCCTGCAGTTAGATTTATAGTGTTTAGGGCTTGCTATCAGGACTTTTCATGGCACTGTAATATAGGGATCTTCATAAGGCTTAGAGGATTTAGGGTCTGTTAAAAAGGTGTCTCTCTAAGTACCGTACTGCCGGGGCTTTACAAGATTTCAAACATCTAGGGTTTATCACAAGAGTTTCTTTCTTCGTGCAAGTAGCTAAGGGGCCTTTATAAGATCTGAAGGATTTCGAGTTTAATATAAGGGTTTCTATAGAAACCTGTATCATCAGGTGTTCAGGATCTACACAGGCCGACTCGTCCATGTACCCATCTGGTGACACTATAAACTTGGGTATTGAAGGTGTTTTAGAGGTACAAAGGAGTCAAAATATGTACTGCAATAGATACACGGGGATCAAAGAATAGGTATATACAACATGGCCACATGGACTCTCAAGGTCGGACCTAGGGTTTGGTGGGTTTCGACTCGCACAAGACAAGCGCGACTTCATGAGGTCTGGCGTAGATTAGGGCTCGAGACATTTTATATTGATTCCTGATGCAAGAATGGACATTCATTCAAGCATTCGCGAACTGGAATCAGGCACAGCCCACTACAACCTATTGGAAATTGGAAACCTAAACACCCTAATACCTAAAGACTTAGGATGGAGCTTCGGGTTCGAAGGTTACCGAGCTTGGGAACGTGTAGGGTTCGTGGATGGCTGTGAAACATTATAGTAAACTCCCTTTTTGAGCAGGAGACCCGACACGAGACTGGGCTCCTAAACCTTGTGACACCTGCCTTGGCCACGCGGATGCTTGCCTCGCATTGGCCACGAAGGACCATGAAGAACCTCAGCGCGATGGATGGTACTCGAGAGCTGCGGGCAAGGCAGCAAGGATGCAAGTGCATAGTGTTCTGCAGTGACACCTTTACATCTGCACCGAGACTTGCAGAACGACACAATCCAAACTGGCAGTTTCAGAGCTTGACAGAACTTGAAACAGGTTCAGATTACAAACTCACTAACATTGGTAACAGCACCCTCGCAGCTCGCAATATGACATGGCGTGTAGCATCGAAACCAGTCTTTATATCACTGCGTGGATACTGTACTATGGACATCTACAGGGATCGAAAGGACCCCCCAATGTACCACCGACTTCCCCAAGGCTCAATGTAGAGACATAGTATATGCTCAAGCCCTAAAGCACCTGAAACTCATTTTGCAACCTCCTTTAAGGCCAAGTACAAACTAGACGGGTACATTAGGATGTCCTTAAGGGGGGGTGGTCCAAGGGGGGTAGGTAACCTAGTAATCCCCATTATTCCCCAATACTCCCTAAGCTTCCCTAAGGTTCCCCAAAGCTCCCTAGTACCCTCCCCCCTTGAACCACCCCCCCTTAAGGATCCTATAAGTACATGGAGCCTAGGGTTCAAGCCTTAAACCCTGCAGCCCCGAATGCTAAAAGACTAAGATCTCAACCCCCTTCTAAGCCAAGAACCCTACAAACGTACTTGTTTCGGGCTCCTCATACAATAGTTGTGTGAACGGTGGGTTTGCGATTAAAGTAGCTAAAACCCTAAGCCCTAAACCCCAAACAATGAAACCGTGCCCAAGCTGCTCTGCACCCACATCTCCCTGCTTTACGATGACCTCCCCGCGCTTGAAGGTCCGCTTCCTGGGCTTCGGTTCAGCGTTCGGTGCTGACTCTCGGACGGGGTCAGGGGTTCAGGGTTTAGAAAGCTAGGTTTCGGGTTAATAGTTCGGGATTCAGGGTGAGGAAGTCTAGGATTGAAAGCTTGGCGTTCAAAGGTTTAAGGTTACAAGTTGTGGGACTGAAGAGTCGGGTGGCTGCTCTCAGCCGGGGTTTCCGTTCAGTCCGAGACGGTTACCCTGTTTGCAACGCGCCTTTTTGAGTTCACCCGGCAACCTCCCTGAACTTTACGCTCTTTTTGCTGCAGCTACTTGCTGAGCTTACATGAAGATGGTCGTGAACGACCAGCATCTTTTAAATCACAAGCTCCTCGAAAGCAGGCGCTGCAAGCATAAAGGAAGTGGGACGTGTCGAGAAGCCATTCAGATTAAGACTGCACCCGGAGGGACTTCTGCTGAAAACGCTGCCACACATACGGCCACACATAATGACTCTACGTACGCCTGTGTGCATTCAATACATTCGAACCTCGAGCTTTCTAGGCCACAACCTAAGTCTTCGCCCTGAGCCAGACAGCATCAAAGAGCCCAAGACCCTTTAATTAAGGAATATAGCCCCTTGAATTTTGAGGTACATTCCTTAATTAAGGGGTATTGGGGTCTCTGGGAAACCCCAAGTACACGGATCTCACTCGAAAAAGTTTCGGCGTATATTGCGGTAAATGCCACTGGGACTGTATGCGAAAGCATTATTACCAAGTATGCCTATCGTAACCTCTAAACCGCAAACACTTAAACCCTGAAACCCTGTGCCCTAAATCGTAAGCCCTGTATCGACAAAGGCGCCTTTATGATTAGAACTGTGCCCTAAAATCCTAACCCCTGCAGTCTACTTGGAAGTAGTAACAGTAATGGTGATCGTTCCGGCCTTTGCTACAATCGGGTTGAGGATAGTAGCTATGTAGGGTTAATACTGTGGAAATACCTGATTATCAGCTACTTGGACCCTTAGGACCTTAGGGTTTTCTAGTCACTCTAGTCCTCAAACACGTCTTTTTGCAACTGGGCTTGGGGACCAGCCAGATCCTTGCATCACGGCCTTCAACACTAAACACCCGAAGCCCTACAAGACCTAAGTCCCGAGGTCTTGAGGTGGGTGTCTCCATGATGTCCGCGATCCGAGCGATAAGCTCATCATCGAACCTTTGGGTTTCCAGGACATCTACGGCAAAAAATAAGCTTGGGGGGGCTGACTGTAAGCCGGGCTTACATGGGAAGCCCTACACCCTCAACACCAAGCCAACGAACTTCTCAGAACCCCAATGTTCGTAAGATAGGAACTGGAGAACTAACTGATCAAGTGTGCCGTATGGCTGGCTTGGTAACACGACAGCTTACTGCAAGAATCACGCCCTCAAACGTCTGCCCCGCTGCGTTGGGGTCTCCGGTTTAGAATTTTACATCTTAGACTGCCGAAGCCTGCTTTTTGTAGAGTCCTTTTAACATTTCCCTATTGGGGTTAATGACAAGAACTATACAGAAAAGTATGTTAGCGGCAGCTTAAGGTAGGGTTGAGACACTGTTTGCACCTGAACTTGGAACCCGAAGGTGAAGGTCCAGCTTCGAATCTCAAAACTCAGGCAGAGAATTCCGGAGCTTCCTTCAAAGGGACTCTAAATGAGTGCGCACTCGAAAGGTTAGTGAGCCTGCTTTAGCTCTGGATTTTCAGGACGATTCTGACAAGCTCAGGGTCACAGGGGCAGGCGAGACCGGGATTTCTCATCTGCAGCGCACCTGCCACGCAAAGTGTACTTTCCTCGCCCTACACAACCCTGAACTTGGCCGCCGCACGTCTCGAACATTGGCACGCCCGTGCGGAGATACTTCTCACGCACGCTTCGCTCGTGCATTGCCGAGCGGGTGACAACGTTGTAGTACCTCGCGAAGTGAGGGGCCCTCATCACAAGAATGGGGCTTGCAGTTTTATTTTTGCGAATGACTACCTAGGGACTTTCTGGGGAATCACTCGGCCCGCTTACCCATGTAGTGGTGTGCGGATCTTCAAAACGTACGTTAGCCTTGCAGCCCATGCGGCCCAGTACAAGTAACTGGGCAACTGCATCGCTGGGCTTCCAGGGATAAGAACTTAATCATCGATGACAACCGAACAGTATGTATACACATGCCAACTCGCTCGCTCGCTCACTCACTTGAGCATGCAAGCATGCATGCTGTTGCTTTCTTTATCACTCTCTCGCGCACATACAGACCCACAAACACACACTGACTTGCTGCTTGGCACATGCTCAATCATAACCACGCTACCTATGAGAACATGCCATGCACTTCCAGCAAAAAAAACATTTTTTAACGAGGCCTTTAGCAAATAACCCTATATAAACCCCAAATCTTAAGCGCTGTCTTGGCCTCCTTCTTAAAACGCTTTGCTCCGCGGGGATCCCACTCTGCAGGACCTTTCGTCTCCCCCTGCAATTTGTGAGATATCGAGGCCCGAGCAGTCCATGGAGGTTGAAAAAATCATTCAAAGGGTAAAAGGAGGGACCCCTAATAAGGACCCCTAGGTATATACCCATTATATAGCCTATCCCAATGAATAAGCAATCCTCTACACCCAAAGGCTCCAAAGTACCTATATGGTAGAATGTAGGGTTTCTATAATAGGAATTACTATTATGAGTTGGGGAAGTATCCCCCGTAACAGTACCTGGGACCCTTTGAGAAAATCATGCCACAGCTTGGCTGCGAAATCTTTGCTGCTTGTGCAATCATATTTAACCCTAAACCCTTTTTGTTCAGCATGGGCTTGGATACCCTGAACCCTAAACCGTGGTAGACGGCACAGGATCAGGAGGCGGTGGGGGACGAGTAGTAATCGTAATCGTAGCATCATCATCGTCGTCTCCGCAGTCGTAACGAGGAAAGGGAACACATACCAGGATCATGTGTGAGGCCGCAGTCATTTAGAGCACATGCCAAAAAACAGTTTAAAACAATCCGAAATATTTCGCATTTCCGATAATCCGATAATCGGTAGTAGGGTTTAGGGTTTAGGGTTTCCGATAATAGGCTCCGGTAGTAGGCTGTTGGCTGATCCCGAAACCTGAAAAGAGTTCGTCTCCAATGCGGGGTTCGAGTTCGATTCCAGGGCACACCATTGCAGAACCCGGCGCTGCCCAAAGGGTTTGTTGCAAACCAGGCTTGCAAGGAATTCCCAGTACGATCCTTTCAACGCAAAGCCAGAAACAACAAGTTTAGCAATGCGAATGGTTTTCCTGAGCCCCAAAAAAGGTTTATAGGAATCTGCATCTAAGCTGCACGTCCCGCTTAAGCTTTCCGACCACGGTGGGCTGCACTGCACGCACCGTCATACGCCTCTGCAAAGCTGCTACAAAGGCCGTAGCTCTACAATATGGTCTTGCGGTTGCTTCTCGTACATAGGTAGAAAGGGGCTGTCAAGGGACCTGGTTGAAAATTCTGACTATATTAAATGTAGTGGTTCCCAGACGGCGAGAGCATTTGCAAAAAGCTCAATTCCCGGCTTCTTCAAGACGGTCTTCCTGTTCGGCACACCCTTGTCGGCACCGCCAATCCTAAAACCACGGCCGTAGACGTCTGAACAACCCTGACGGCCATAAAAACAAGCAGCCTGAAGCCAAAGCAACAGACACCAGACTGAAACCATGAGCCCAAAAGCCTCAAAACGCCCGAAAGCCCCACCAGTTTTTTGAAGGAGCTAAGGATCACAAAAAGGACAAAGGGCCAACAGGGAGACCTACTGTTCATGATATAAATCCTGCATTACCCACCATAAGGCCATAAGGAATATGCCATAATCCCCAACGTCTAGGGTCCTTAAGGTAATACAGGATTCATATGGGAGTTTCCGAAAATAGGGGACCCTAGTATAGTACCCCAAATAGTAGGATCCTTCTTATAAGGCCCCCAGAATAAGGTACCCCCAATTTTCGGAAACTCCCCTATCATCAACCGTAGAACAAGTCCGGCCTGCGGAAGCCGAAAAGCATGGTGTGCTCTCCGAAAAAGGTGCCCTCGAAGATGTTGACCTGGCCACTTGGAGGTTCATGGGTGGCTAATAAGGGTTCCTTAAAGGGTTCCTTTAAAGGGTTCTGCAGTGGTTTAGGGTGTAGGGTTTAGGGTTTTATGGTTTAGGGTGGCGATAAGTAGGGGTATATAATGTCCCCTTATATGGGTGATATGTATAGTTACCTTACTTATAACCCCACAATAACTACCTACAGTCAATCTCCTTTATAGGATGCTAACCATAAAACTGATTAACCGAAAAAAGGAGCTACAATGAAGACTGTAGGTACCCCTGAACCTCCAAGCAGAGACGGTTTGTTACGTCGGCCCCAGCAGGGTCAAGGGCTTTGAGTAAGGGTTTGTTTGGGGTTTATTTAGGAGTTTCCGAAAGTTAGGGGTACCTTCTTTGGGGGTCCTTATAATAAGGATCCTACTATCTAGGGTACTATATTAGGGTCCCTGTTTTCGGAAACTCCCGTTTTGGCTTGTAGTGCATGTTCGCACGGGTTCGGTTTTAGGGCTCTGAGGGTTTAACCCTAAACCCTAAACCCTAAACCGTTTAAGTGCAATCTGGGGCTTGACAAAGCGGGTTCCAGGTCTGCGGCTTACGTAGTGCCTTTAGCGGCCTGAGGGCCGATGTACCACGGTTTAGGGTTTAGGGTATATGCTTCAGCCCCAGAACAATCCCTATATAGGAAGTTTGGGGGTGCCACATTAGAAGATACTACTCCCAATCTCCAGAGCCCGAAACCAAAAGACCGAAACCTTGCCATGAGGGTTTAGGGCTTAAGGTTTGGTGCTAAGGGTTTCGGAGAGGCCTGAATGACTAGACTATTTGGAGGTTCATGGGTAGTTGCAAGTAGATTAGAAGTAGGGTCGCTATACGTGCAACCCATATTAGGGGCCTTATAATCCCACTTATTTCTACCCATGAACCTCCAAGTAGTGATGAGACTAGTGTGTTTCGGGAAAAGTCTGGTATATGTAGAATTGTATTGGGAATTCATCCAGGCTCCATGTACCTGCCTTTCTAATGCAGTATGTACCTAGAGTTTAAAGTGCCTATATAGGAAGCCCCGTAGCCTAAGTTACATGGAGCTTTCAGGAATCGTTCAGGCCCCTGTATCAGAACCCAAGGCAGTCTACCAGAAACCCTTGCCTATTTGTGAGAAAACCCGACCCTGACACCAAAACCTTCAACGCCCCTTGAAGGACTGCTGCCTTCGAAGCTCCGGTGTGAAACTTGGTTTGATTGGGGGAGAGCGCATTGCGTTCTGTTTTTGCGGTGTACCCAGTGATTCTATACAGTTCAGGCGTGCGTACAAGGGGTACGTGGATTCAGGTGGTTGCATTTACTCCTCATTGACAGGTCTTCCGATTAGGGATCAGGAAACTTCCACCTCCTTCTTGGAGGAACGCCGGAGCAGGGTGAAGGGGTCCTGCGCCGCACACAGTAGAGCTAGCCTATACGGTTACAGGGTTCGTAACAGGGTTTAGTTCAGGCGGAAGCCGGGAGGAGATAGCATCTGGACCCTGAAATTCTAAGACCAAAGTTAGGAACACTGGAAGATTTGAGGCACAAAACCGCACTAGCACTGTGACCCAGCTGCGCCTCGCAAAAGAAGCAGTGCAGGTTTCCGTGTGGTTTAACATATTAGATACCTGGGGAACTCGGTGTACTCCTCGACGCAAAGTTTCAGTCATGTCACCACCCTAAACCCTGTAGCATAGAGGTGAAAAGCACCCTAGAGCCCAGCCAAAACTCCCAGGGCTCAAAAGGCATGCCACGTTTACAAGTGCCATAACCCTAAATACCCTATACTACAGCAGGCCTCGTTGTCCAGCAGCCCGGTTACAGCAAGAGCCCCCCCAAACACTCTATATATACCCTTTTCCCTAAACCCTCAACCCCTAAACCCTAAATCGTTACAAGTGCCATGCTGCAGAATGACCTTACAGGTGCCCGGAGCCTTGACGGCCCAGGATTTGGGGTTTGGGGATTCGGGCTTTAGGGGCTTTCGGGGGTCTAGAGTTGGGAGGGTTTAGGGTTTAGGGTTTAGGGTTTAGGGTTTAGGGTTTAGGGGGGGGTTTATGGATTGGGGGTTTAAGGCTCCCAAGATAGAAATAGGATTCATGGTGAGCTTAGAATCTTGAGACTATTAGGTTGGCATTTTTGATTCTGGGCGTAGAAAAGAGGATTGCGCAGCGGTTGGCTTACAGTTGTCATTCATCGCCGAGGTTTCTGAAATGTTTTTTCATGCTGACGACAAGATTAACTCCACCTCCTGAGTCCTAAATCCGGAATAGGCCTTCTTAAAACCCCTGAACACTACACCCTATTACTATACAACCCCCTGAACCAGCAAACATAGCGGGGTCTTCGGCATCTGTCTCTGCCGTAGCAACGCCAGAGATGAGGAGATAGCCTGGCAGGACGAGCTTTCTACTTAGCGCAATTTAAGCCTTTGCTCTGTGTATGGGAGTTTCCGAAAATGGGAGGGGGGAACCTTATCTTGGGGTCCTTATAAGAAGGATTCCACGATTGAGTTTACTATAGTAGGTTCCCCCATGTTCGGAAACTCCCGTATTGCGTGGAGGCTTTTGCCAGTTGATGTTGTGCTCTGTTCAAGTGTGTTTTGTTTCGCTGTTTGATGTTTCTGCTCTTGTATTGTTTTGGCACATTGAGGAACGCCGACATGGAAGCATATGTTCTTAAAGCGGAATCTAGAGGCACCTGTGGTACATCTTCAGACCATTACTAGACAGTCGGCAGCATAAGTATGTACACAGATACAAATACACGTGTATATGTACACATAAATAGCGCCGACAGGAAAATGGACTAAACAAAGTAATTATAACAAGAGAACCATGTTTTTGCAAACGACGACGCACATATCTGTCTGTCTATATAATCTGTGCATATTTTCTATGTACCTACGTTTGCATAAAGTTAGGTCAGATGCACAAGATATTGTGTGTATCCCCTGGCAACCGTCACCCCCCCCCCCCTTCACCCCCCCTCCCCTCAGGGCCCCCCATGCATGGCGCAGGGCACCTGAATTATCGGACTAGTGACTAGCTGGACGTTCGCCAACCGGCCAGCTTGTATTTCCAAGTCGCACGAACCTTACACTCCAATGCTGCAAGCCTTGAACCTGAGGTACTTAAGAGCGTTGGGTATACGAGTTACGGCCACGTTAAAACTTGTCATGCTCCAGGTTTTGGGCTTTCAGTTCTGAGCCAGAGTCTGCGTCCCAAGTGCTTCCCTGATATGCTAGCGCATCTGCCCTGCCAGCTTAGGATGTTCCCAGAGGATGAGGGATTTCCGGGCACCCGACCGCTGCGGCCCACGTTGTTCTTCTCGTAAATAGCATCCCCTTGCTCGAACTTTTCGATTTCCATGGTGTCGACCTGAATCAGAAACCCTAAAATAGTTTCGGATTGAGGGGCCCTAAAACCTAGTGGGGTTGAGGGTGTCGGCCTGGTTTTAGTGCTTCCGAAAGGGTTTCCATCGCGAAAAGCAGGTGCCAATCCAGACTTAATCCCCGTCGCAAGGTCTAGCTGCATTCGGTCTTCAAGGGGACACTAGGAGAACCGACTGGGTTCTTGTTGAGGAGCTTAATTACAAGAATCAGCATCTTTAGTAAGTACATCTAAGTGACTGCCTTAATAATTACGACAACTTAAGCTTACCTATATTAACAAGACCCCAGCAACCGGCCAACTCTACAGAGCCGGCAAGTTCAAACATCATCTGCCTTTGCCAGATTTGTTACTACGTATCAGATCTGTTAGGGCGTAGGGTTGAAGGTTTATGGGTTTGGGGTCATGGTAGACCTGGAAGAACCATGAAACATAGCAAAACATGAACATCATAATCCGAGACATGCAGCTAATTACACCAGCCAGCAATTCAAACGACAACATAATCGCCATGAAAATGAGAGTGACAATGACGAGGCCAACAATTGCTTTTGGCTTTGCATCGCAGCCAAGCTACAATCGCCCGGAGGATGTCGTGCTCCAACTCCTATCTAAGACTGGGTGAAGCCAACATCTACACCATTGGGCTGCGCAGCTTACCTGGGAGCCCCAGGCTCTACGTTTAGCAGCAGCTTTGCATTGGGATATCTCATGCTTGTTCCAGTAGCGTCCACAACCAGGACTTGTCGAGGTCAGGCTGTCTGCTGCTAAAGGCAGGGTCGCGTTTTTGCAAGTCTACTTTGTCTGACCCTTTTGCTGGAGGACAAGTCTGGCATCTCGTAGCGTCGTAGCAAAACTGTTCGTGTAATACCACGTTGTCAGCTAAGGCCCCGGCTAGAACCCGTGAAGGCAAGTGGGGTTTGTAAACAGGACAAGCCAGGCAAGGTGGGGTTAAGGATCTCTTATATCTGCCACCTACCTTCATCCCACCCTACTTGGAGGTTCATGGGGAGTTATAAGGGGGGTTATAAGTCCCCTAATATAGGTTATAAATCTAGTTGAACCTCCAAGTAAGGGTCTCTTATACCTGCCCCCTACCTTCATCCCACCCTCTGGGATCCCTTCGACCGGAGTCCTGGAAGAGAGGGCAGTGCGACAAGGACTTGAAGAGAAAGTCTTGATGCGCTTTCTCTTTCTCGAAGTAGGGGCTGGTCCAATTGGCCTGAGGGTCTTGGGAAGTCTTCAGGCTTAACCCGGAACAACCTACGGTTTTAAACACTTGTATAATAAGGAAATCATGATGAGGAACCCTAAAAAGGTAGATTATGCAGGGTTAAGGTAAGGCTTAGGGCAAGTCTAGGGCTTCAGGGTTATCGGGTTTCATCATCTTGGCCCTTTTGGGGGGGTTTCGGGCTTTCTTTTCCTCGAAGTAGAGGCTGGACCAGTGGCCTGAAACGGCTGATGCTTCCATGGAGGTTCAGGATACGATGCGGACGGTTCCCATGAAGTTACCGAAACAATTGCTTGCGGTCATAAATGAGACGGCACCTGACGACCTGCCTTGCCTACATGCGCCCTGCCCAATCAAATATGCAACAGAGCTCGCTGAAGCTGAGAACGTGGTAGCATGGAGCTATGAAGAAGCTGCACGCACTTCGATTTCTAGGGCGCCAGCAAAGCGCACATTGAAGGCACCAGTCGGCAGAGCAGACACTCCTGTAGGTTTAAGGGCTTACGGCTGTTAGGCTTCAAGAGCTTCGCCACGTGCGTTGTGCCAAGTGGGTTTTGAAGACGAAACTGGCAGGTATTAAGATCCGTCACGGCATTTTTGCCTAATGAACTTACCGGTGTGCTTGTGCATGCTATAACCGAAAATTAGATGATGCAAGAATGGAAGATGTGAGCAAGCCACAATGTGATGCAACACAGCTTAATTAATGGCATCGCCTAATCTGTACCAGTCTATTATGCTACACCGGTCTGCAACTCAACGCCAAAAGCCCTTCAAACGACCATGTTGAAAGCCTGAATAATACGAGTGCCCTGCGAAGAAGCCTTCCAACTCAAACACTCTTTTAAACTATTTCTCTGGGTGCTGGACTCATGAGACATGCCTGGCGGTGTAATAGTATAGCACCAGAATCATAAAACCAGGGTCTCAATCATTCGAAAGGGCCTTGGGGGAAAAAGCTTCGCCACAATTCACAATTAGGGTTTAGGGTTTGGGGGTGAGTCAGGCAGCCCTCGGGTATGGTAGCTGTATTTCTTCGCTGTTGGCAGGAGCCGGTCGAGAAAGGGGCAGCCAATTAAGCTCTTAGCACTCAAACATGGCAGGCTCCGAAAACTTACTTTGACGGCCTTATAGTAAGGATCCTCCTATTCAGGGTGCTAGAACGGGTCCTGTATTGTCTAAAACCACATTTTCCAGACACCGCAAGCCCACAAAGTCATGTATTCAATTCGAAACATATCGAAAGCCAACCCGGAGGTTCCATAGTAGCTCCTTTTTGGGTTACCTTATAGGATTCTAAATATGAACTCCAAAAAGGAACTACTATGGAGCCTCTGGGTAGGTCCTAACTGCTAAACCGTATGGTCAGCCTCCTCTTCGCTCAAGCATGGCCGGCTCTTCCAGCTCCTTGCGATTTAGGGTTTAGGGGTTTAGGGTTTAGGGTTAGGGGCTTAGGGTTTAGGGTTTAGGGCTTAGGGTTTAGGGCTTTAAGGGTTTAGGGGGTTAGGGTTTAGGGGTTTAGGGTTTAGTACGTAAAGATAACCACAATGTTATAGGAACCAGATGCTTATCGGACACCTAAGACTTAAACCGGATCCACAAACGCGCCTTCGACTTTTTCTTGAACGAAAAACAGCCTCGGTATCCAAGAGCTTCCTTGCAGCAGGGGCCATGCTTCACGCACTCCCCCTCGCTCCCGGCTCCAAGACGAGAGCGAAAGGTCTAAAAGCTGCGTAGCAGATATGGAAAATCATCGTCCTCATACGCCAAGGCCCCCTGAACTGCGAACGCTCCTTGATGATATTAACAAAGCCGGGACCAAAAACCTGTCGAAAGTCAGTTCCTGTCCGAATTCTCCCGTCTGTAACTCGAGAGACACACTCCTTCGGAGTTAACTCGGTACGAACTCAGGCGTCCCCTATACCCGAAGAGAGAGAACACGGAGGTCAACCTAGCCTAACCAGACTTAGCTTGATCAGGATATAAAAGCCCGGATATACCGGAGTTGAACCCCAAATCCTCCTCCTCGTATGTCCTACCAGAGGCAATCGTGCCAACGACAACTGTCACTCCATCCACAGGAATCATCAGTCTGAAATGTAGCCTTCCTCTTCTAGGCGAGACATCCAACAGCCTATCATCGCGTACAGGTCAGACTGAACTTCTTGTGAATAGAGTTCCTCATCTACCTTAAGTCCGGCCTTCCAGAGGCTGAACAGAATGTGAGCTTTATCAAGCACTTCATCCGGCAGAACGCATGACTCCCAAACAGAGCCACGTGTTTGACTCTCGGCTGTTTGGCGCGACGGTTCACGTCCGCTGGAGACTCGACGACGAGCGATCTCCCAGATCCCTATGACAAATGCGATCTTTATCAGCTCAAAGAAGACTACGCCTACACCGGACCAACCTTCAGCAGCATCACCTTTAGCAGGGTTGGGCCCACACGTGGTTTCAGCCTCAAACCTTTCGGTAACCTCTGTAACCGAGTACTCGTACACGATCCCTTGAGCCTGGGCATGTCTAACAACCCCAAAAAGAATCCAGACCCAAATGAACAACAACCTTCTAGCACGAGACCACCGTTCAAAGTCCTCGATTATGATCCCCGAAGCCTCGCTCCATGATCCTACTGCCGATCGAACGAAGCCAGAGTGCAGCCCACTCCCAATCCGAACACCAGCGCTACAACCCACAATGAGGAGCCAAAGCCACAACCCTCGAACTTCCCAAGCGCTCCCGTCGCTATCAGCAATGATTTGCCACAGGCTCTCAACACCGACAGCTGAAACGCACCATCCTAGGACTACGGCAAGAGATGCTCCTACAAATCCGAAGCTCCCCTGAAAACCTGAATGGATGGACCCAGAAGTCGAGACAGCGCCTCGAAACCCATTGGGATCATCACTGCTACTGGAGGGCTCACCACCACCTACAGTAGAGTCCTCACTCATGAACCGTTGAAATGCTCGCCAATCACCCCTAACTAAACCCTCAACTACTGTGTCTATCTGTCCTTGATCCCATCCTTCAAGCGGTATTCGAAGCACATCATCTCCATACGCAACGGCTAGCGCTCCATTCTCGGCCCAATACGTCGGCCCAGGCGGCTCCGTCTGAGGAGGCCCTTCCAGCTCCCCTTCAGAAGATTCACACGCTTGCACTTCACTAGAAATTCCGCTATCAGAACCCGACACAGACACAACTGACGGCTCGGTTGTAGAAGCACCATATGTCTCATCACTTTCAACATCGGAATCTACGGCCTCAAGCATCTGCACCCACTGCGGCATAACATAGCCCGGATGGGCTGGAGCATTATGTGGTCTTTCATCAATCTCCGGGTCATCAGAGTCGTCAGTGACTCCACCTTCTTCTAATTCAGCGCCTTGAATATAAGCATCGGCAACGGAGTACCACTGAGGACCTTGAAATTGCAGGGTCCAACGCGTGCGTCGCATCATTTGGGTAACTGTGCAAACCAGGCTCGCACGAAGTTGCCCCGACACTTCCCTTAGGACCCGCCATTCAACTGCCCTTTGGCCGAGAAAGGTCAAAATTTCACTCCCTCGCAGAGATAGCAGCACATCTAGATAGTGCCGTCGAACTAAACCCCTTACAAGAGGAAACACCGGCTCCCTATCTTCCTCAAACAGATCCTCGTAGCACGTCGGTTCCCTGCTTTCTACTAACGGTTGAACATGCCCAACGCTTCCAGCTGACCCATGTCCTTCGGGAGTCTCAGGCTCTCCCACAGATGCAGATGGTCCGGTAGAGGGATTCCCGGAACTCGAAACTAGAGCCGTTACAGGAACCCACTCAAAACGATCACCTACCTGCACAAATTGGAAGGCAACCCTATAGGCTACATCCCTAGACGGAACTATGCAACCCGTATCCCTGAATGACCCGAGAAACTGAAGAACCCCATTAGACCAATACACTCGCGCAGAACTCCGTAAGCAGGTCCAGGCGGCAGCATCATTTCCCAAATACACCCAAAGTGTCCCGGCAACTTGATTACACAGCTCTTCAAAGGCTACACTCCCTTCTACGGTAGAACTTAATAGAGCATCATCAGAGCCACTGCTCCCCCCAATCTGGACACTCGGCGTCGGCCCATCCTGACTGGAACTGCTCCCCCCAATCTGGACACTCGGCGTCGGCGCATCCGCATCCTGACTGGAACTGCTCCCCCCAATCTGGAGATTCGGAGAAGGCGCCTGGGAATTAGGAACAACTGTATCAAGCCCCGTGAACCACGAAGGTGCTGGTCCGTAGCGTTGCATCATATTAGGGGGATCAACTAGGTCACCCTTTACAAGCTGCTGTCTCAACTTAGCCCTCTGAACGAAGGTTAGCCCTGTATAAAGCTCCCGTTCGATTAAAGCCCTTTGGGACTGTTCCCACTCCTCTTCATCAAACACATCAGAATCGGAGTCTACCTCACTAGGATCCCCAGGCTCGACAGCTAAACCAGAAGTACCCTGAACCTCGTGAACGTCCTGCTCGGAGCTCGAAGGGGTTTCGAAAACAGCGGGATCTTCAAGTGTGGCTTCAGGCCCCTGTTGCACCAGACTCCGGTCATCTTCAGGCCCTGTGGACAAGGATACAGCAGCTCTAAAAACCCTAAACCAAATCCACAACAAAGCCACAATGGCCAACACAGCGCCTACGGCCCAAGCCAACAAGTCGTTTTCCCAAACCCTGGGTTCAAGAGGTTGCGCCTTAACACTGGGCAACACCGCCAACAGCGCAATTCCGGCTAGCCATTCAGCCTTCACAAGTGCACCGGATCCATTTATGGAAAGTCGACTAACAGCCCTGGCGGACACTTCATCGGCCTCTCCGGAATCAAACTTCAATCCCAAGAGCCCGAGCAAATACATGATTCGCGGCCGATTTAACGGTTTGGTCGCAAGGTCTGCGACCTGGCTTTCGCCAGCGACAAAAGAAACAACCAACGATCCTGCCTTGATGCGCTCCCGGGCAGCTGCTGCCCTCATCCTTAAGTGTCGGGACCTCCAACCAAGGCTCCCCGCGGCAAAAGCGCGGACAGAGGCTTGGTTGTCGCATAAAGCAGAAATGACGACATCATCAGCGACGAGTTCTTCTATGATAGCCGCAACGGACTCTGCAGCAACGATGCCAGCAGTTACGGCGACCAGCTCAGATTCTGCCGATGACAGAGTTATGAATGGTTGTCTACTTGACTCCCAAACCAATAGCATACCACACCAAAGGATAAAAATCGCTTGGCAAGATCGTCCTCCCTCTGGCGCGTGTGACGCGTCAGTAAAAAGCTCAAGCGTTGTCAAGGTTCGCGGAATCGGCGAGTCAAGCCACCAGCTTCCGCTGGGTTTTCTGTATTCAACCCAGAGATCAGCTGTTCCATAAAGATATTGTAGCACCTGGCGACCTTTCTGAAGTACAATGGAAGGAGCTTTTGTGGCATACTGACCAAGCTTACTGACAGCAAAGGCTATGTAGGGTCTGGTTTTCGTCGAGGCCCACAATAGTGCACCGGTCAACGCCTGTGCATCTCTTACTGTCTCCAGCTTCGCTTCATGCTCAATCTCCGGCTCCGACCATGAACTCATAGGCGACGAAGCACTACTGCAGATGTTGTAACGTGAGAAAAGCTCCTTCAAGTAAGACCCTTGAGAAATCTTAAAACCACCCTCGATGGCCAGAATCTCGAGCCCACAGAAGGTAACCGCAGCCTCCTTTGTCACCCATTGCGGATCAGAAAGTTTCCACAACCTTTGTATCGCGGCGAATAATTCCTGCAGAAGCGGCGTGGGAGCAAAACCCAAAAGATCATCAACATATATTATCAAGACCCCGTGCCAACGATCGGCCTCCTCGGTTGAAGCATCCTTCCTTGCAATAAACCAAAGCGAGTCATCACTCACACCTTGCACCAGAATGTAGGTCACACCCTCCCACTCAAAGGTCAAATCGCTCAATGATCTATCTCGGAATCGTGCCCAAGCCAAAGGTGCCTGCCTTAAACCATACAGCGCCTTGAGGACAAGCCACCGATGGCTTGCCGATAGCAACTGCATCTCGACAAGTAGCGACGGTGGTTTGACAATGATTACCTCCTTGGGGTCCAATTCATCGCAAAGCGGCGCATGCAAAAACGCTGTCCGAATATCTGCACTCAATCCCGACCAAGATTTCATCGCTGCGAATGCAATGGCGGTCCGGACGGTCAATCCTTCAACCCCACTCGCATATAAGCTCTCAGGATCATGAGCAGTCTGAGGGACGTAATTCCCGCACGCAACACACCTAAAGCGGCGCTTCCCAACACCAGCCTTCCTCGTCAAGACGGCCTTGCCTGGAACTTGAAGTATCTTCTTTCCTTCACGAACCAAGCCTTCAATGTAATCGGTGTCAAT